TATATATATATATATATATGTATGTATGTATGCATATTCTATTTGTCTCACGAAACCCCCCACCCGATGCATCGTGTCCCCCCCGCCGCACACACACACACACACACACACGCGCAGATCGATACATCTACATATATATACACACACACACACATACACACACGCAAGTGGGTGATATTGGGGGAGCAAAACTGTAAAAAAAGAAAGAAAAAAAAAGTAAGGGAGGAGGAAGAGGAAGAAAGAGAAGCACGAACAAAAAAAAAAGAGACACACATATATATTTATATATATTTATATATATGTATGTATATAACAAAATAAAGCTGTAAGACGGCAGCGCGACGCGTTTGACTGTGGCTGTTTTCTGGCTGCTGGCCGACACTATTTGCCCGAGATGCAAAGCGAGAGAGAGAGGCGCGTGGGGGGAGGAGGTGTGCTGCGCGGAGAGCACAGGACCGCCCCTCCCCTCTCTCACACATACAGAGAGAGAGCGGCGTAACACACAGCAGAGAGGAGGAGGAGGAGGAGGAGGGTGAAAAAAAAAAGAGAACGGAAGGAGTGGTACAACAGAAAGGACAAAAAAACAAAGATGAAAGAGAACGGCACCCACCTGCAGTTCGTCTCAAAGGTTGCCGGTACATGCAGTTGATCCCATTTATTTTTCGCGCTTATTTTCGCTTGTTCTGACTCTCTCGTTCTCTTTCTCTCTCTATGTGGATGTGGGTGTGTGCGTCTCACAACGCGGCGTGCGGTGCAGTGACGATCGTGCCTGTTTCTTTCCCCCTCTTTTTCTTCACTCACCACCACCACCACCACCACCACAACCGCGTGCCAGCAGCAGCAGCAGTAGCAGAAGTTGCTGTAGTCAGCGGGGCCAATGCACGAGGCTGCGCACGCGGTGCTGGCCACGCCGTCGTCCCTCAGCAGTTACCCAACATACACGCCTCCCCCACCGCTCCCCAGGAAGGCGGACGCGGTGTCTCCGTTAGCAGTACCGCCATCACCACCAACCGCGGAAGCAAAGACAGCAACATCTCAGCGTACGTTCCATGAGGAGTGTAACGAGTTGCTACGCGTCATGAATGAGGACGCAGAGGGCGGTGTTGCGTGTGTAGGGCCAAAGAAGATGCGCGAGAAGTGCCGCGCCATTCTCAGCGAGGTGGAACATCTCAACCGCCTGCTAGAGGTGACTGTAGAGGAGCGCGATGACATGGAAGGGGAGCTGCGCGGGCAGCTGCTGCATGCTGAAATGACCATCCGCGAGCAGACGCAGCTGCTGGAAGAGAGGAACGAGGAGCTGCTTCATCTGCGCGGGGCCGTGGCGCAGCTGACGGCGCGGTTGGAGGTGGCGCAGCAGCAGCAGAAGCAACAACCGCAACAAAAGCAACCGCAGCAGGTGCCTCGCACAGACTCACGCGATGCTGACGACGGACGGGGAAGCAGAGGCGGCGATGATGGCGTCGGCAGGGCTTCCGGCATCATCTCAGCCCCCGTTGTGGAGTTCTCTGATGAGGCACACGATAATGACCGTGACGTCACACGCAATAATAACGGTGACGGAAAAGAGGAGGAAGGGGATGTGTGTGTGAATGTGGGCACCGAAGGTGTTGCTATCGTGTGCCGTGTTGCGCAGAACGCGCTACGGTGGGTGAAGTTCCTGCTGGGGCGGTGCGTTTCCGACGGCGCAGAGGATGACGGAGGCAACACCGCGCCCCTGCTGCCGCTGCTTCACGAACTGCAGCAGCGCATCGCCGGTCCGGACGTCGACGCGGCGGCGGTACGGGTGCTCTGCGTGCAGCTATCAAACGGCGTGGCCGAGGCGGCAGCGGTGCGCGCCCCAAGTGCGAGATGCGACGCGCACGTACGGGAAGAGAAGCTGCGGCAGCAGGTGGCGGCCCTTGAGGCGGAGCGCGACGCTCTCCGGCAGCGTGCAAGCGTCGTCGCGGAGGAGAACGTGCTACTGCTGCGCGAGCTCAAGGCATGTGAGTACCCTGCGCAGCACACCACCACCACGCCGCCGCCGCTGCCAGCGCAGATGAGTCAGCTAGAAGTGCAGAACGCGATGCTGCTGGCTGAGCGGGACCGTCAGGCTGTATTCATTGAGGAGCTAGAGCAGCAGTTGCGGCAGTTAGAAGAGGAAAAAATTGCGCTTCACAGCACTGTTAAGCTTCAGGCGGAGTCGCTGCAACGTCACGAGTGTGCCCTCGAATTTCTCTCACGTCATGAGTTTGGCGGGGGTGGACGGGCACAGACATCCTTCAAGTGAGACGCGGAATGGGGCCTGCTTCAGTGACGTCGCTGGTGTTAGCCCGTGATCCTTTCTTGTGTTGCCCGTTGCTTATTTCCTGTACCGTTGCTGTGCGCGTGAATGTGGTCAGCGTGCATGGCCTGCAAAGCTTCATCAGAGCCCCCTTTCGCTCTCTCTTTATCTCTGTTTCTCACTCTCCCCAGCTGCCATTGTTTGCTGTTATTGCTCTACTGCGGTTGTTATTATTTTTTTTTTTTGGTCGCTCTTTGTCTTCCCACGCTCATTCCACGCACAGTAGGTAAAAGGAAAATAGGGAGGCGGGAGGGGGGTATGCTGCGCGGGTCCTCTTGCTGTCTGGCAAAGCGATTTCGCTACAACACAAAGTATCCGTCATTGGTGTCATACAACAAATTGCCATGGGAACTGCTCAACCACGAGACGCCGGAATTCCACATGCATGTAGCGCCGCACTACGAGCAGGTTCTCTCTCTCGCCACGTCGACACAGGTGCCACATCTCATTAGCAAACAACACCTGGACGTGCCACCGGAACACCGCCTGCGGCTCCTTCCGGGGATGCTGTACGTCTTGGAGGGCGACGTGCTACCGGCGGGATTCAGTGATAGGCGCGTACTTGACCCGACGGCGCTGCAGTACTACGGGCGTATCGACAGCACTGTTGCGTCGGTTGTAGCGGTACGGATGCTGATATCGGACGACCTTCGGCTGCTTTGCAACAGCGTCACACTGCGGTGGCCGCCACGGCTACCAGTTGCGCCACACGCTGCTCTGGCGTCGTTGCAGCAAGCCGATGCGAATGCGACCTTCACGCTTTTTCATTACGTGCGACCGAATAGGCCTCCGAGTGAGCTGCAGTTGGAGAAGTATTACATCCACGTCCCACACACCACGGCTCTGGATGAGTTTTCAGCTTCTAACCCCAGCGGCAGCTCGTGGGAGCCGCGGCTGCAGGCGCCCAAGCGCAGCACTCGTGTGACACCGCTTCCTGCATACCGACCACCACAGAGTTACTTGATGGGGCTCGCGGAACGTCTCGCAGTTGTGCCCGGAAGCAGCTTCGGTCGTCGCTCGCTGATGTGGGGCCACTGGTTTTAGTTGTTGCAGCGCACTTTGTGCCTCTGTCTCTGTGTGTGTGTGTGTAGCGTTGGAGACTGGAGAGAGAGAGAGGAGGAGGAGGGGTTTTGCGTCTTGCTTGCATATGCAGTTGACTGCGCAGGCATATCTATATATATATATATATATACATATGTATGTATGTATATACCTATGTGTTTATAAATACGCCCCTTATGTGCCCGTGCGTATGCACATACTCAGATCCCCTTTGTTCTTCCTTTTGGCCACATTGTTCGTAGTGCATTTCTCATAGCCGGAGGTGGTGCGGTATTTACACACACACAAACGCACACATACATACATACACACTCTCACTCACAGACAGACTCATAGATTGAGGCCTATTGTACGGTGGCCTTCCCTCCTCGGTGTTGTAGTAGATACGTCACGTATTCACCTGCAATGCACCGAGAAGACAAAGGAGGTGCGTTTACAGTGCTTTTTGCACAGAAAATAGAAATACCGACGAGTGGTTCCCAAGTGATTTCTATTCCACTCGTTCCACCACAAGAGCTCGTCCCTGATGATGACGTAGAGGGTGACAAGCAGCACCATCAGCATCGCTGCCAGCGGTGCTGGAACACCTTTAGAGTCAAGCCGAGTAGTTCCACATACAGGTACACTTGTTGGCGCTGCTGTTACCCGGTGTGCCGCCAATGCCGCATGCCATGGCCACGTGCGATCGATGTGTGGGTGTGCAGTGCGTGTGCGGGCCCAGTGAGTTTCACGCGACTCTTCGGTACGACGAATTACGGCGTCGATGTGCTGTTGCGCATTATGGAGTACTGTGATCCCCGCGCCACGCGCATTTTAAAGTTTTTGTTTCCCGCTACCGCGCTTCAGCAGACGGCGCAACATGAGGCACCAGTGAAGGCGCCGACGAGGCGACGTGAAACACCGCGGCGGCGACGGCTGATGGCCAAGGCGGGTACGTCTGCCGCCTCTTCTTCTTCTGCTGCTGCTGCTGCAAAGCCCCGTGCGGCAAGTTCGGGGAGAGTCAATAGACGTGTCCGCGCGGATGCCCTGCCACCACAGAAGATGGTACGAGCCCGTACGGCGACGCGGCGTTACTCCCCGCCGCAGCCCAACAAACGTGCGGTGTCTCCCGTAGCTGTGTGCTCTTACCCGCCACCGAAGCGCATAACATCTGTCGAACTGCGGTGCGTCAGGAACGATGGGAAGGAGCAAGACTCTGCCTCCCCGAGGCCAACACCACCCACTCTGCCGAACGTAACGACATCACCGCCACCGGTTCCAATATCAGCGTCTGAAACGGTAGCGGCACACGAGATGACAGTGGCAGCTGCAGAGGCACCAGCGTCACCAACAACGATAAAGGTGCACTCCGACCCTTATGCTTTGTTGATATCCCAAGACCACGCGACAGAGGAGAATATTGCAAACAAATTCCTGCGGAGTGACGCGGGGAATTGCGATGTGCTTCGAACCGAGTTACCGCGCCTGAGCGACACCCAGCTGTCGCCAGCACCTAGTGTATCTGCGCCGCGCTCGGATAGCCCGGCGCCACGCTTCCCGTCCTTCTCGCAATTCTTAGATGAGCAGGAGCCTGTACTGCAGCTACAGCAGCAACAACAACAGTACGCCGTGGAGCGGCACGTGGTGCCGGAGCGCCGCAGTACATCTGTTGGCGAGGCGAGGAACATAGTAATTGATGTTGTGGAATTGGGAGCTCGTGGGGGCGGCCGCGGGTCAACGTGGGCCTCCTCGCCTAATCCCACTACTCCACGGAACGCGGCAGGAAAGGTGTTCGCCGCGTCTCCGGAATCCGTAACCAGGAAGACCTTCTGCAATCCCCCTCCACAACTACGCATTACACCCGCCAATAATTCTGTGTCGCAGCGACGCACCATTGCGACCAGCAGTAGCCGTGCCATGGCAACTAGAGGTGCCAACAAAAACGGCAGCATGTGCTCTAATTCATCACTCCTCATGAGGCGGCCGAGGGGAATGATTGACAGCAGTAGTGATCGCAGCGCCCGACTGAACACCTCACGGGGACATATCACGCGGCCAGCCATCCCCATAGGGCACACAACCCCTCGTCCCGCAGCACTCACCTCTGTTGGTAGCAGCGGTGTTGCAAATTCAATGAGTGGAGGGCGTGGCACTACACACCATACGACGGCGCGAACGGCGCGGGGCCTCACAACTGAGAACCGAGCAAACCGCCGAGACATGGGCACTACGAGCCCGCGTTTCGCGAGGAAACCGACGATACGCACGTCGCTGACGGACAAACACACCAGCAGTGGCGCCCCGCTTAGTGCCCGTGCGCCACCAGTGTCATCACGTGCCGGGACTGGGCACAAGTCCAAGATGGCGTCTCCACTCACAGCACGTCCACCAGCGGCAAAGCGGCCAAAGGCAGCGACGGGCGCTACAACAACGTCAACTGTGACAACACCACTGAAGCGTACCAACACCGCGACACGTACGCGGACTTCCACGCCGCATGGGCCAGGCACGCGCACACCGTTGCAGCGCATCGCTTCCAGCCGACTGATGCCATCGAGCGACGACCCGCGGCGATATGTGCCTGCACATCCAGAAAAGGAGCGGGCTGTGCCGCAACCACAGACATCACCGCCGCCGCCGCTTATGGTGGTTCACATCACGCGGCAGCGCAGGCCTGATGCCTTGGATAAGCCAACTTTGCCTGCGTCCAGTGCACGGCCAAGTAGTAAGCGGGAGCAGCGCAAGGGAAGCACAACACCCCGCCCACTGCAGCCACGGAATGGAAGCACAACACCCCGCCC